AAAGAAAAGATAATCCAATTATCACAAAGCAAATAACACATCCCACAGATCAACGTGTCCTTTTTCTTTTTTTCTTTTTTTCTCTTTTTTTCTTTCTTTCTTTTTTTCTTTTTTTCTTTTTTTCTTTTCTTCTTTTTTTCTTTTCTTCTTTTTTCTTCACCTGTCCCCACCTCGGCAGATAGGACAGCTACGGTGAGGATGATGTGGATGTTCACAAGGATGATATCGTCACATGTATAGATATATTTAGATATATAGAGAGCGAGAGAGAGATGCAAAGGGGAAGATAGACGTCTTTTGAACATAAAGTGGAAAAGGTGATAAAAGGGGAGGAGGAGGAAGAGAGAGAGAGGGAAGAATTGGTGAGACTTGGCACAAACAAAAGAGGGTTTCTAAAACTTGGCACAACAGCGAGGTAGAGGGGAGGAAGACAGAGACAGACGGACAGAGAGAGAGGGAGAGAGAGGTGGGAAATTGAGAGCAAAATTGCAAACTGGGGGGATGAAGGGAAGAAAACTCTGCTCTCCGCTTTTCGGCTAAGGACATGATCACAATAGGACTTTCTCCAAGGAATCTGAACGTAAAAGCAGTCAGATACATACATCAAAGTCCTCGTGTGACTACGCCTTAGGCTTAGCAACATTGATACGTATCCTGCGTTTTATGAACAATTTCGATCAACACAAAAAAAAAAAAAAAAAATAGCGACGGAGGAAAAGTGGGAGAAAGAAACGCAGTGAGAAAGTGCGAAATGTCGACAGATGAAAAGGGAAGGGCAAAAAAAAAAAAAAGAGATGTAAACAAAGGAGAAGACAAAAAAGGGGACGTGGAAAGAGATGAGAGGGCACGTGCAAAGACCTAAGATGAGAGAGAGAGAGAGAAAGAGAGAGAGAGAGAGAGAGACAGAGACAGAGAGCGAGAGAGAGACAGAGAGAGAGAGAGAGACAGAGAGAGAGAATAAGCGATGCAAACCAAAGAATGAACTTCCATTCTCTGGGCATGAGGAGAGAGAGATGATGACACGTGTCAAACAGTTGGCGGACTTGGCAGAGAGATGTCATCCATGGACGAAGTACAGGTGGTCCTTAATGGAGGGTGGGGACAGAAAGAAAGATACAGAAAGAGAGAAAGAGAAGGAGAGAGAAAGAGAAAGAGAGAGAAAAAGGGAGAGAGAGAGAGAGAGAGAGAGAGAGAGAGAGAGAGAGAGAGAGAGAGAGAGAGAGAGAGAGAGATCCAGAATGAGAAACGGATACGAAAACCAGGACCAAGCGAGCAAGCGAGGGAGGGAGGGAGGAAAGGAGGGAAAACACAGAGAGAGAGAGAGAGAGAGAGAGAGAGTAAATTCATCCTAGGGACGAGAAATGGGAATTGAAGAGGAAAAGGGGAAGATAAGCACGGCCCCTGCGCAACGATGACTGGCACAAATCGAGAAAAGATCCAAATTGATTAATTAAGAAACGAAGGAAAAAACACGGGGAAAGGGATAGGGTAGGTATTATCTCTGGGGAGAGCAAATAGGACAAGGGAAAATGATAAAGAAGAGCATTTCACGAACCATGCAAAAGCGTCAAAGGGGCCGCCGCCGACCCAATCGCCTGCGTAATCATTTTTGTAGATATGATATGATATGCAGAGCTTCCTCCGTTGAGCACGAGCGAGCGCGCGCGCGCGTGACACGTCCGTCCGCTGTCACCCGGTCTCCCGACCCTGCTGCACGTGCGCTGACCTTCCGCGCCTGCTGCGGAACCACACGCCCGTGACAAACCAACCTCCTAGTGACTGTGTAACCATATACATCCTCTTCTCCCTCTCTGCCTACGGTTTACCGGGCAGTTCTATTTGACGATATATACATGAACCAAAATTCCAAAATTCCCCGCCAGGATCTCCAGACAACCTTTCGCGCGCAACGAAACTCGTTGGCGCCAAATTTTATCACAGCATCGCCACGATCTCCCGCCCATAATCGTTGGCGCCAACTTTTGGCAGGACGTCCACTGTACGGGCGGGCTGGTAGTCCCACGTGCAGCGTGCAGTGGTCGAAAACGACACGGGGGCTAGGTCCCACTTACACGAATTAAGCGATATCGACCGTAGATCGCAAAGATGAACGACCGAAATCTCCTAATTTGCGCAAGTGGGACCTTGCCCCGGTGCGGCAGGGAATCCAGAGCTCACAGAATTGCGAAGTGTCCAACGGTGGCCGACGGGCGCCGCACGCAACGCTAATGGGTCATCCGCGGGCGGGACCCTCTTGTCTGCAAATTCGTATCCGACCAACGAGCCTGCTGTAGCTCAGTTGGTACACCCTCAGACTGTTGAAATGCAAACCCAAGTTCAAAGCCAAATACAAGCGAGGGATAATTTGCAAAATACCCCGAGAAGATGAGATATGTGCCAAAATGCCCCTGAAAGATGTTTGTAGTGTGGAATGCCCTTTTGGGCCGAAATCTTTGTGTTGTGCCCCTGTCAGGCTGGTGTGCAACTTCGCAATCTGGACCTCCCCGTTTGGGCCTTGGCCTCAAATACTGGGGCATTTTGCAACGTTGGAATGACCCTGTAGGGATATATTGCAAAGATGGGGGTCCAACCGATGCCAGGGATATTTCACAAGACATTTTTTTTGTCAGAGGGGCATTCCGCTCTACACACATGTTTGAGGGGTACATTTTGGCACATATCTCAACTTCTGGGAGTATTTTGCAAATTATTCCCACAAACAAATGACCAGAAAATTCCCGCGTGGGAAAATAGGGAAAACTGATTCTTTTCCCAAACTCCTGAATCTCCGGAGGTCGGGCCCGACGACGACTGCCATTGATAAATCTGATCGGCGGCCGTCATTTTGTTTCGGCCTCCGAAAAGGTCGGATGCCTACTCGAGGCCCGCTATTTTCCAAGCGGCAAAGGTACTAGTGGTTTAAAAACACAAAAATTGAACTACCAGGGGCCGGTCAATTGAATGATGAGATTTTTTTTCTTTTTTTCTTTTCAAAGTTGCCTGCTCCTCATCGGGGGACAGCCATATATTTTTCTCTCACCTCACATATTTTTAACTGGCATTCTGCCATGTCATGGAACATATCTTTCTTTCACTACCTACCTACCACTACTCCTAAGGCTATACAGGGGACGTGGAATTCAGGAGGTCGTGGGTTCAATCTCCAGGGCCACCTGTGGCACTCTTGGTGCCAACCAGCTAAGATGGTCAGCAGGATCCTCCTTGTCGGTATCAGTAAGGTCTTCAGCCAACACGGGCGTGAGTGCGCGTGTGAGTAGGTTGTGTGTGGTGTGTAGGAGAGTGTTGGCCTTAGACACTATTGTTACTCGACGGGGGTAGGGGAAGATGAAAAGGGAGGCACACTTATTGGCAAATGCTCGATCCTTGTGTTAGTCAGGCCCCCACCGGCGGCCCTAACCTTGCATCCTAAACGCTAGCGAGAAGGGGCAAACATAGCGTTACCTCTCTATAAGGCCGTCACCCTTTCCAATGGGCAAACATATTGTTACCTCTCTATAAGGCCGTCACCCTTTCCAATATAAAAATGGAAAAAACACAAATTGTATCTGACACGAGATTCAAGATGACCGACGGTCAGTCTGACGATCCACCACCCTGGATCCCACCCTTATGGTTATTGTTTCTCTAGCAGGCTTCAGCGTGTAGTGTAGTTCTGCTACCCTACAAAAAATACGATAGCAGTTCTACATTACACGCTTACTCCTGCCGATGTTAGCAGTTAATGGAAAAAGTGAAGTATGCCTTCAAAATGGCATCAAGTAAAAAACTTGCATTTTTCCGTAGGACCATCGGATCCACCCTCACGGACAGTTGATGTCCTTTGCTTGAACGTCTCACCTACACTACACGGTACTACACGGTTATAGGTGGGACTACAGCCACGGTATCGACGAAAGATGTACCAAATGTGTCCACGCGGAGTTACCGTTGATCAGTCCGCCGAGTGCCTGTGACCGAGGGACTCTCCTAAGCAACGAAACTATTGGCATTGTGAAGTCGCCATCCTCGATCCATCTTCCTTGTTAATTTTTTTGGGAAAATAAAAATAAAAATAAAAATTATTGGCATTCGGACCAAAAATACTAGTGAGATCGGGCGCCAAGGATGACAATACATTAGCATGCCAATGTTGCCCGCCCAGATTCCAGGTGCACTCTCCACATTCCAGTCCACGCGTGGGTCTCTGGCTATATGCCATAGGTATGACAGTGTGGGACCGCTACGAACCGTCGGCCTATTGGATATGGACGGTGAGATAATACATCACGCCTTTTCGGGTGGGGAGCTCTAAGCCTTTCGTTTTCTCATTGGTTTCTTATTGCTTTACGGGTCGTGTGCGAAATGGAGGGAAAGGCAAGGCCGTGTAGTAAAATATTTGTTTTCCTTTTATGTAGTTTTCCACATGGTTTTCCCTCGTTAGTGATTGCGAGGATCAGTGGAGGCCAGGTTTTCTAGGGTATGTGTCAGAGAGTGACTGCAGAGGGGTGGAAACCCAAAGCACAAAATGTGGCCCCTACCAATTTATTGAAGTGGGCAGTCGGTATACCCCAAAGCTGTTGAAATGCATACCCAAGTTAAAATCTTTACGGATTATAAACGCACACACACACACACACACACACACACACACACACACACACACACACACATACACACACTCGGATTCTTTGTCGTTTTTCCACCTTCTGTCATTGCTCTATCGCAGAAAACTAAACTATATGGTGACATGCGTCCCCAAGACACTCTGAGTTCCTTGAAGGATAACAAATTTTGCAGGTTGGGAAGTATACAAACTCGAAAGTGGTATTGGAGAGCGTCATCTCACAACCATCCACGAAAATTCGAAGTTCGTTTTCGGATAGTAAGTGGAGCGACGTCCAACTATCCGAATTTGTATATCAGACAGTGGCGGGGCGAGGCCCAGTGTGTTTTGGTTACTACCTGACATACTGCGACTCTTTATGATGCACGAGCTTACATGCATGCACTGGTTCTTGTATGTAACACTCCAACCTGCCGCCCTGCACAACTTTCATGTCGGAGTGACTAAAGTGTGAAAAGAGACCTGGAAAGCCGAAAAATGGGATGTGCAAAGGATTCTTTGGTAATTGAGTGTGGAGACCTAGCCAGAACTAAAATCTCTCATGCAATCCCAAATATTGAGTGACGAGCAAAGTGGAAAAAACAAAAAAGAGTCTCTTCCAACGATTACCTAGTCCCAAAAATATCTATAACTTAAACAATGATTTTGTCAAAATAAATATTTTTTATTTTTTTAATGAAATTGAGATTGACCAAATTGGTCTGATCGAGGTCAAAATTTTTAGTTTTTTAGGGTACAATGTGCTTAAAACGCCGTACCCCCCGGACTCCAGCTATGTCCAGATACATTCAGGCGGTACGTCATTCTTAAAACGTCGTACCCCTTGGACGCCAACTACTAAGTCAAGATAGACCTAGGAGGTAGGGCGTTTTAAGAGCGCTATACCTTAAAAATATGAAAAATTCACCCTCAATCAGACCAATTTAGTCGGTTCCAATTTCGTTTAGAAAAATAAAAAATGTTAATTTTAATGAAATTACAATTCTTTGAATTTCGCCCAATCCAAGAGGTATCTTTGAACTTAAGTATCTTTGAACTTCGCCTAATCCAAAAAGTATTTTTGAACTTCGCCTAATCCAAAAAGTATCTTTGAACTTCGTCGTGAGGAGTGTGATATTTTTTTACAGGCCGAAAGGGAAGGGGAACACAAGTCGGGTCTCAATTTCAAACGAGGGACCGACAACATACTTCGCATAGTACCTGAGAATCCGATTAGGAGGTTCACAATATCACAGCTTCCTCATTTAATTCCTCTTCACCACGTGTTCGATAGTTAAGCCCTTGACCCAAGTAGAACTCGGTGTTGCGACAAGCGATGCACAGCGTGTGAGGCCAGTGGGGAGCAATTGTCTGTCATGAGATGATAATAAACTCCTGGAAAGGAAGCAAAATGAAATAGGAAGGAAAATGAGTATCAACAATCACAAAAACCGAATTGACAAATCCATAACACTATGTTTCAAAGATAAACTGATGAAGGTCATCAATCTTGGCTACAACTTTTCGTACATCCCACTTGCAAACACATGTCCCATCCTTGTGTACGAGAATGGTTATGGGGCGGGATGTTCGAGAAGTCGTCGTCCCAATGACTTCACTGCTTCAGTCCACATCGTAGATACATATCATCCACAACTTACAAAACAAGATTGCAATCAATTCCCATTAACTTGGGAATCACCTTCACAAATGAAAGCAAGCGATATGATGTGTCTTCCACACATGAGGTTCCTACACGAAAAGGAATTACCCATAAACCTAATGAATGACTTAATGGGTTATTCAGAATAACAAAAACCAAGATAAGTTCTGAATGACGACAATATAAATAATTAATCGGATCATCGCATTAGATTGAAGCAACAGGAAAAACAAGGATTTTCACGAGTTTAGCAACTTAAGGAAATGTTAATTCCATAATCCCTCAATCGCGTTTAAAAGCAGATCATACTTCTAACTATACCAGGGGGCATTCATTTAAAAATAAAAAACGAAAAACACGCAATAAATGAGACATTAACCAACCAGAGGGTTTCGCTCTCGTAAGCCGCGAAAGTGTAATCCTTCCGCTCATTACTTTCTTATTGCAAGTGAAAGATTGTAAAAAAATCAGTTTGTGCTTAACTATGGAAAGCGCAGAGTAATGTAACAATCATTCGTCCGTCCATCACCGAAACATCACTTTAAAAAAAATCCATAACAGAGAGAGAGAGAGAGAGAGAGAGAGAGAGAGAGAGAGAGAGAGAGAGAGAGAGAGAGAGAGAGAGAAAGAGAAAGAGAAAGAGAGAGAGAATATACGTTGATATAAAAAAAATTATTCCATCTTAGTAGAAAACCTTTGTCGGCTCTTGCATTTTGAAGATCCTTGTGTAGCGAGTTCCTATACACGTAAGGTCAAAATGAGGGGCAAAATTAGTAAATGACACACTTACACACAT